AGTCATTGGGATCCTAGAAAGGAACGAAATGGATACTGACAACACTGCCTCAGTCAGGTGACCCAGGTTAACATCAACGATGAGTCATGCTGATAACACATCCTCTTCATGTGATGTGTTGATACGACATTTTACCCCTGTGGTTTTCTTCTGAAAAAAACACGTAACTCCTGTTAATTATAAGGAAAAAAAAAAACCTCAGACTAATGCAAATTGAAGGACCTTTTAAAAAATATCTGACCAGCCCTGGCTGGTTTTGCTCAGTGGTTGGAGCGTCGGCCTGTGGTCCAGAGACCCGGGTTCGGTTCCCGCTAGGGGCACGTACCAAAAAAATTAATAAATAAAATAATTTTTAAAAAATAAATAAAAAATGCCTGACCAATATGCCTCAAAACTGTTAAAATCATCAAAAACAAAGAAAGTCTTAGAATTGTTTGTAGTCTTAAGAAGCCTATGGACACATGACAATGAATGTGATTGTTATCAATGGGTTGGGTCTTGGAACAGAATAAGGACATTAGGTAAAAATTAAGAAAATACAAATAAAGTATGAATTTTAGTTAATAATAACATATCAATATTGATTCCTAGTTGTGATAGGTGTACAAATGATAACAGTAGAGGGAACTGGGGGTGGTATGCACAAGAACTCTGTATTGATTGTGCAACTCTCCCGTAAACATAAAATAATTCTAAAACACAAAGGTCATTCTTTAAAAGTGTTTCTGGGAGAGGTTGGAAATTGAAAGGGAAAGGAAGTGAAGGGAAGAGTGGGTTTACTAAGTCTTCATCTTACATCTTGGCAACTAAAAAGATACCATCTATGGTTAATGGAGCGAGAAATGGAGGTTTAATTCTGTTACGCGAAATTATAGAGTTGATTTGTGAAAGAACAGAAAATACTAGCATAACTATATTGAGAAGAATAAGCAGAGGAACCATAGGGCTACAAATCAACAGAAAGTGTTTGTAGCTGATGAACAAACAAAAAATAACATTAAAGCCCTGGCCAGTTTGGCTCAGCGGTTAGAGCGTCGGCCTGCGGTCCGGAGAGACCTGGGTTCGGTTCCCGCTAAGGGCACGTACTTCGGTTGCAGTTTGTCCCCAGCCCTGGTTGGTCGTGCGGGTGGCAGTCACTCGATGTGTCCCTTCACGTCGATGTTTCTCTCTCTCTCTCCCTCTCCCTTCCTCTCTCTTCCTCCCACTCTATCTGTACAAAAAAATGGAAAAATATCCTCGGGTGAGGATAAAAATAAATAAATAAATAAATAAAATAAAATAAAAACTAGCATTATAGGAACTGAAAACAGAAAGCTGTGAAGGGTCGCCGTAGAGGAGAGAGACGAGAAGTGGGGAGAAAGGAGATGTGTACGTCTTTCTGGGCCATTCTCTTGTTCACTGATATGCATTTCTTACTTTGAATTTTTCAAAGTGAAATGAAAAAAAATCTTTAACCTAGTCAGTTTCCATCACAACAGATAGGAAAATGGAACCCACCAAAAGTGATTCTCATTCCCAGGCAAAGGACTAAAAGCTTCCGTATTAAAATGTAAATGGGTGCTCTTAGAATCCCATATATCAGTGAGATGCTGATAGAGATTAATTTCTCAAGGAGGACATAACCAGCCATTAATACAAAAATGTGGATTAAAAACCACAAATGTAAAGGGGAAGCTGTAAATGAACCCACATAACCCAACACTGCTGATGACTAGATCCCATTTCAATAACACATTCTCTAAAGAATATCGATTTTCCTTTACTGTCATTGTTTTCTCAATGATATGCCTTCAGATAGCCTCTGCCTGGCGAATGCCTACTCATGCTCAATCCAAACTTAAATATTAAAGACTTTATACAGTATAATAAAAGCATAAGTAAAGTTAATCATTGAAAAGCAAATCTGCAGAAAATAACACAATATTTATAACATAAAGAATTAGTGCCCTTAATATATAAAGAGATTTTATAAATCACAAAGAAAAAGATGAACATATTTATTCCTGGCTCTTAATCCACACAATAGCCAGAGTTGTATCTTTAAAATCCAAATCATGCCGCCAGTGTGGCTCAGTGGATTGAGCATTGGCCCATGGGCTGAGAAGTCCCATTTTGATTCCCAGTCAGGGCACATGCCTAGATTGTGGGTTCAGTCCCCAGGGGGGTGTGCAGGAGGCAGCTGATTGATGTTTCTCTCTCACACTAATATTTCTCTCTCTCTCTCCCTCCCTTTCTCCCTCTCTCTAAAAAACAAAAACAAAAAACAACAACAACAAATCTTGCCATGTCACTTCCCTACTGAAAGTCTTTTAGTGGCTTCACATTGCTCTTAGAATAAAGTCCAGAACTCTTTAACATGGCCCTCACGATCTGATCCCCTACCTTTCTCCTATCATCCCCTCTTCCCTGCCTCTCTGGACTCCATCCAGACTTGCCACCATAACGTTCTGCACATGCCGATTGCTTTGCTGGAGTCACACCACCACCCCTCTTTCATGGCTGAGGCCCCCCTTCCACCAGATCTCAGCTTAAACATCTTTTCTCAAGGACGTCTTCCACAATCAACTCCAGATTAGTTCAGATCCCCTGCTCTGTGCTCCTCATAACCCTCAGGGAACCAGATGAAATCATGTTTCTGAGTCTTCAGATCTTGGGAACAGACCCTGAGAAGCGATGACCCTTCCTAGGACTGTGAGGTTCAAGACAAAGCAACCACTGGCCTCTGGAGCCTTCTTATCTAGCACAGTCAGGAATGGTGAGGGAGCTCAGGAGAACCTCGTGATGAGAGTTCCTCCTCACAACGTTGGTTCTCAATGTTTTTTGAATAGACAACTTTCAAAACATAATAAAAGCTGTTGAAGCCCAACCGGTGTGGCTCAGTGGATTGAGCGTCGTCCCATGGACTGAGAGGTCTTGATTTGATTCCCACTCAGGGCACATGCCCGGGTTCTGGGCTTGATCCCGGGTGGGGGTCGTGCAGGAAGCAGCCAATTGATGTCTCTCTCTCACATCGATGTTTCTATCTCTCTCTCCCTTCCTCTCTCTAAAAAATCAACAATTTTTTTTTTAAAGCTGTTGGACTTCTCTCCCAGAAAAATGCACATAAGCAAAACCTTTGATACTGTTTCAATGTTTCACAGTTCCCCTAAACTAAAGTCCATCTCTCCACCTCAGGTTAAGAACCCCAACTGTAGGCCTAGTGAAAATGTCACATGTACAACCACACAAACAATACTGTTTTCCTGGCTTTGTTCAGTTAATCAATATGTAGTGAGTTTCTACAGTATTAGAGATTCTAATAACAATAATAACAACTTGTAAATGAAACTTGCTTTACAGTTTAAAAGAAATTGAAATCTTTTCATATAATTGTCTCATTTACTCTTCACAAAAGCCCAGTGAGGTAGGCACAATTGCTCCTCCTAATTTCCAGATGAGTAAGGACTTTCAGAGAATGTCAATGTCAGCCAAAAAGGAATTGAACCCCAGAAGTAAAATATACCTTTAGCCCTGGCCGGTTTGGCTCAGCGGTTAGAGCGTCGGCCTGCGGTCCAGAGAGACCCGGGTTCAGTTCCCGCTAAGGGCGCGTACCTCGGTTGCGATTTGTCCCCAGCCCTGGTGGGGTCGTGTAGGTGGCAGCCACTCGATGTGTCCCTTTCACGTCAATGTTTCTCTCTCTCTTCCTCTCTCTCCCTCCTACTCTATCTGAACAAAAAATGAAAAAATGTCCTCGGGTAAGGACAAAAAAATGAAATGCACCCTTTAAACCCTAAGCCTGGCCCTTTCTCACCCTACTAATATTGACTCCAATGGTCAGAGGTGATAGGACCTGTGTCTGTTGAATGCTGGGGTCACCGTATGAGGATGACCTTCGAGGCCACAGTCTCAGCACCCAATTCTCATGAGATCAGCCTCATGCTTTCCTGGTCCAGGTATAATGCAACTCTGTAAATCAGTGGTCCCAGCACATCTCCTGGTGTTCAGGGGGTGTAGCCAGAGTTCCCCGTCCTCCTGCCCAGAGAGCACAATAGCTAACTTTTTTTTTTTAATTTGAGTTCCTAATCTATGTCAGGCACTGTTCTAGGATTTTACATGCATTAACTCATTGAGTCCTCAAAACAACACCACAGGGTAGGTACTATTATAATCTCCGTTTTGTGGACACTTGGGGGGAGATTAAGTAGCTTGTCCAAGGTTACACAACTAATAATTTTCAGAGCCAAGATTCGAACTCTGGAGCCTGTGCTTTTTGAACCCGGGACTCTCTGTCCCGCAGGCCGATGCTCCAACCGCTGAGCCAAACCGGCCAGGGCGAGCCTGTGCTTTTAACCGTCCTTCTGCCTCTCCCAAGCCAGTTGTTCTTAACTTTTGGGGGGGTCATATGCATCCTAGAGAGTGTAATTTAAGCTGTGGACCCTCTTCCTAGGAAAATACAGCTAAGCAGACTTTTGCAAAATATTTTAGAGACTTCAGGGACTCCCTAAAGTCCGTCATCTATCGAGCTCAGGCCTAACACCGCCGTGTGTCTCATGCACACTGGAGGGAACTGTCCAGGGAGAAAAGAGAAGTGGTGGCGGCGCCGCAGGACTTTGCCTCTGCAGCCCCGGGAGCGCTGAGCTGCGCGTGTGACGGGGACACTCGCTCCCTGAGAACCAGGAACCAGGAGCTCCGGGACCGCAGTGCCCGAGAACGCAGCCGGGTCGCTGAGCCTCCGGAGGCCGATGGCTGAATGAGACACGCACGGACCGCTGGTTGGACGGAGAGCTTGCGTCCCTCCCAGCATCCTGGAGTCACGAGACAGGGGACTCAGGGCAGACGAGGTGTCCCAACCCCGGTCCCGGGCGGCCTCGCCGTGGCTGTGCCGAAGCGCCGGGTCGCGGTCCCGCGCTCCAGGCCGGCGGGTGCGGCCGCCGCGGGCGCTGTCCAGTGCTGAACCCGGATGCGGCCCGGCCCGCGGGGCTTAGACCCGAGCCCGCCCGCCGCACCCAGCGGAGCCCAGACCGAGCTTCCGGGCGCTCTGACGCAGAACGCTGGGGGCGCGGGGAGCCCCGGGCTTCCAGCCGGACATGGACCTGCAGAGATTCGACTCCTACCAGGGGGGAGCTGGCCCTGACTTCAACGAGCATGTCCTGCACAAGGTAAGACGCCCCTCCGGGGCCCCGTCTCCGCCCAACGCTGGCAGAGGGCGCCCTCGCCAGGAGTTCCCTCTGTCCCCCTGGATTGGCTTTGGGACTGGAAAAGAAACGAGCCCCTCTCTGTGAGCCTAGGGACCCTCTCTGTTCGTTCGTTTACTGCTCAAAACCGAGGTGCGGGTGCTCTGGGGGAGGGGCCGCCGCGAAGGTCCCGATTCCAGGAGCTTCGTTCGTTTATTTAAATCACCGGTGTCTCTTCCTCATCCACTCCCTCCTGCCTCTCATTTATCCGAACTCCTCGGAACCCTGTGGGAGGCTGTGTGTCTTCCCAACCAAGCTCCAGCCCCGTTAGGTCCTATAGCTGTGGTCGAAGACCTGAATTCCTGGCCAAGTTGGCTAAAATTAGACACGGAATGATCTGCAGGGGGAAAACTGTTGTTTTCAAAGCAGACTCCCTCGTGACTCCAGAAACCTCCCCTCCAGCCCTGGCTCGCTCTTCGCCTCCTGAAAGTGTGTGTTGATTTCAAAGTTATTCATCCATGGCTTCCGTCATTTAAGTTTCTTATGCAACTCAGTCCTCGGTAATGTAGGTCTCTGCTTGAAGTGATTGCTGGAGAAAGTGGCAGCCTCGCTCTAGGCAACACTTTTTAATCCAAAACCCATTGCTTGTGTTTGCCATCAGAAGTCACTATGGCTCCTGATCCCTTTCTCTGCCCTCCTTACTCCGTCTTTATATTTTCTACTTTGCTAATATCAGTTTATTTGTTAGTCCTCTGAGAGGCTGTGCACATTGTCCTACACTCAGAGATTTTGTTTAAATCAACATATCCTTCTGAAAATTCCGTAGACCCAAGCTTTGAAATAATGTGATTCGCCCTCTTCCCTTATTACACAGTTTATATTAGAGGACACTGGAGTCCAGAGAGGCAAAGTGACTTGCTCAAGAAAACAAGGTAGAAAATGGCAGAGCTGGTACTAAGAGCCAGGAACTATTACTCCACGTGTAATTTTTTTTTCTCTCTACTCAAATGTGGTCCATAAAACCACAGCATTAGCATTACCTAAGAGCTTGTTAGATAAGTGAAATCTCAGTCTCCGCCCCAGATCTGCAGCATCTGAATCTGGAATTTAACGAGATCCTTAGGAGATAAATATGCACATTACAGTTTCAGGTGCACAGCCTTGTGTCAAGCTGGCAATTTCTGACACAAATAAAGGGAAATCGGCTATTAGGGGAAGCAGGTCTGTACTTGAACAGTCTATAGGACTTTTTCCCTCCAGGTCTCTGAACCTGTGGGGTATAGACGAGGAGAAGAATTTATAACAACTGCCCCAGACTGAAGGTTTTTAAACCATTACAGTTTGAAGTACTCTATAATCAAATCTGTGGTTTTGAGGTTGTGAGTTTAGCCTTAATGGGAAGTGTATACAAGCAAAGGAACATAATTACAAATCAATTACAAAAGCATCCTGGTGATTAGATAGATGGGCCTCTCCAAGTTTAAACCATCTTGTAAAGATAGAAATATTCCTTTTGAAAGATTACGATTTGGAGGTCAAAGTTTTCAAATTATCCGTCAAGTATAGTCTTTCCCACCTCAATTACTCATACATGAAATGTAGGATGTAGCCCATGAGAATGTTCCCTTCCTTTGGGTTTATTGATCAACATATTGGGAAAGAGCCTGTTCCTACAAGTTCCACTGTATTTGAAGACAAGTATCTACTTACTGATCATAAATGCTTGGTTATGAGTATCTTGAGAGAAGAAGCTGGCTTTAAACCTTCTAAGGTGCCCAACAGAATGACATAAGTGGGTAGAAAGTTTCACTTTCCATTATCATGCTAATATTAGCTCACTATTGCGCATGACTTTTTATTGTGATCCACCTAAAAATTGATTTGTAAAGGGGCAGGGTATCAATATATTTTTCCTATTTTTTTAAGCTTGCTATGTAGGAGAGTCCAAGGAATTCCTGTTGATTCATTGGAACACATTGACCATAGGATGTAGGCTCCCCTCCAACATTAGTTGCTAGGAAGAAGCATTTTAAAATAAACTTTGTCTTGAAGTATAACAAACACAAGAAAGGTTCAAACCATACTTGTACACTCTGATGGATTATCACAAAGTGAGTACCTCTGTGCAACCACTACCAATAAAGAGCTAGAATCTTGCCAGCTTCCCAGAACCGACCCCCATATATCCCTTTCCACATACTCTCCCCTCTTCCTCCCCAGAGGTTACCATTATGGAGGAGGAAGAATCATTTAACGTTTTGACAGAGCAGCCAGATTTTGTGTCAGATAGACCTAGACCCCAGGCTTGGAATCAGACAGACTTTGGTGTGACTTTGAACATCTGTGAGTCTTACTTTATCTACCATCAGCAATAATAATACCTGGCTTATTGTGTTTTTAAGCAAAGATGTTAGATAATATAATATTATTTGCTTGTTTCTGTGGCATATAGGAAGCATTCAATAAAAGGTGGTTGCTATTAGGAACTGCTGCAGAGCAGTTTCAGAACCTGTCACATGGGGGCTCACCTAAAATGATGAAGCTTTGTAAGAAAGAACAGCAGCTTCATAACCGGAAACACACACATTTCACAAGGCACAGTCCCATCGGATCAAGTTCACACATCCAACCACACAAAAGTCATGACTTCTGTGGGCACACCCCAACCCTATTTTCACAAGTTGAATATTTTCTTTTTCCAGGAAATATGGGAGGTGAGGTGTGGGATGTAATGAGACCTCTTATTAAAATTCACTTATATGAAAAAACATATGTCAAATAGCATCAGCCTTGGCTGGCACTTGCAATTAGCTAGTCCCAAGAGTTGGCAGCTGACCCAAATGAGCCTGAGTAACTCGTAGGATGCTCCTGGAGTGTGAACTGGAAGCTAGGAACCGCTTGGAAACATTGAGTTTCATCCATCACATGCTGGGAGTTTTTAAATAGAGTTGCTGTTGTGCTCACAAATCTGAATATTTCATGCAACTAAATAATTTAAAACAAGCAAACAACTTTGCCGCTCTGTCCCTCAGAGATGTCTCAGCCCTCTCTTGCTACCAGTAGTCTGAGGGCCATCAAGGGCTCTGGTGTGAGTTAGAGGTTCAGGAACAAGCCAAGGGCTGGGTTCTTGCCGTGCCAGGGCCTGACTGTGCGCTCTGGGAACACGAAGCACAGAGACAGGGCAGTTTTTGTCTCAGATACTAGTGAATCAGGACAAAGGGACTTCAGCTCAAGGACTCTAACTCACTATCACCAGAGCCCTGAAGTACACCCCCTTGCCAGTCTTGTTCCGAGAGGGCAAACCATTGCTAAGCTAAAATCAATCCCCTCCATGGCATCTCGGAAAGAGCAGGGCCCACGGGGCAGAAGGATGTGGACTGTCCATCCATTCATCCAGGGCTTGGGCACTCTTGGGACAAATGGAATGATTGAGGAGATAAGGGGCAAAGGTCTCTGTCCTACAAGCAATTTCCGGTCCCTCTGACTCTGCTCATATGTCTTCTCTGTAGGTGGGAACAGCAGTCAGGTTATCTCCACTTCTCTCCCTTGTCTTTCATGTGTCCTTCACTTCTCTCTTGTCCTGCTCACTTGTGATGTCTGCATCCCTCACGAGTTCATGTGCCGCACCTACTCCTGCAGCAAACACGTATCGAACATTCCAAAGTGTAAGAAATTTGCTGGGCATTATAGAGAACACACACCAAAAAGTAATCGTCACCATCATCATGATCATCATGATCATCATCATCATCCTCATCATCATCTCATAGCCTATAAGACATGCACACAATACTGTGTAGTCTCAGAAGTATCCTGGGAAGATACAATGAAGTAACCAAGGAAGAATCAGCTTGAGGCCCGACCCTCTCCCCTTCATGTCCTCTGATTAAGAGTTAATGCGCATCTAGGAGAGACAGTCACACACACTAGTCGGCCTCCCTCACCCACTGATCCAAGAGCAGGCTCTGGACTCAACGGTATTTCCCTTCCCCACCAGCACATTTTACAGGGAAGAATAAATGGACCAAGAAGTGCTATATCCTCTATTCTGTCTCCTCCTACCCTTCTTTATCATTCAGGGGCTCTTTGTTTTGTTTTGTTTTCAGTTAAAACGATGTTAATGGAATACAAATTTGTGGTTAAAAAAATCGAACCTACAGGAAAATCCAAATCCCTGTCGATGAAGAGATTTTACTTTCAAAGCCAGTCTATCATCCCTCAATAAAGTGGTTTGTTTTTTTTAAAGAAAAAAAAAATGCATGTAACCAAAATGAGAGCATAGCTCCACTCCTTGCCAGATTTCCATCCTCGGCTCGGGAGCAAACAAGAAAGCCCAGAAAAGTGCGCGCCCCCCGCCCGGGAGAAGGTTTCTGCCGGCTAGTTTTCCTGGGGCTGGGAGTCCGGACACTTCGGATAAATAGATGAAGTGTGTGTTGCATCACCGCTGAGCGCTGACTTAGGCGTCCCGCCCAGGCCTCAGGGCAGGCAGCTGGCGTGGGGAGGGGCTGGCTGGTCCTCCTGGACAGTCTGAGCAGTAAAGGACAGTGACTCACACCGACCTCCCAAAGTCATTTTCCAAACTCTCCAGGCTCCCCTCTCTGAGCGCTCTCCCCTCTGACACAGTCCCTGGGACCTCTCGTGAGAAAGTATCTGAGACTCGCCACTGTCGACGTGCTAATGTTTCCTCTTGGAAACTGTTCTGGGAAAGGGCTCTGACTTCCTCCGTTTTCAGGGCAGGAAACCCAGCTTTGCTGGAAGTAAACAGCCCGAGGTGAGCACCAGTCTGGGGAACTGTTGAAGGGACATTTGAAGTGAGTCTAAATTTATCCTGGCTTCTTGATTCCACCCTCTCCTCAGGCCAGAGAAGCTGTCCCTGGAGACTGCAGGTGAGCACGGAGATCACAGCTCCTTCGCTAACTTGCGGAGCACGCGGGCAATGCCCTTCCCCAGCTGGGAGCAGCCCTGGACCGTCCTCCCAGTGACAA